ATTGAATAATCGTTTCTTGATATCATGACATGTTCAGTAGTCTTTTTTTAGCATAGAAATATTTCAATGGTTAAGATCATGAGTCAGTTGAAGCTAGAGCACAATCTCCACAAAAACCCATCTGATATTAATCAAAAATATGCTCACTAGTGACTGGCTTCACGAGGTATATCCTGGAGTTCTAGTGAGAAGTAGTGACCAGTGGAGTTCAACCAGGTCTGTTGTGAGGTAGTAACTCACTGAAGACAATGGTGAATGTGTCGCTCAATTTCGTGGATTAGTTGAAGTTAGACATTAACACCGTTGGATGACGGCCATCTCAGTGGTCTAGTGGTTAAGTGCTCGAGCGCGAAACCAGTAGGTCCTGGGTTTGAATCTCGTAGGGGGCGAGGTCGTGAATGCGCACTGCTGAGGAGTCCCACAATAGGACGAAACGGCCGTCCAGTGCTTCCAGGTTTTCCATGGTGGCCTAGCTTCAACTGACTCATGATCTTAACCATTGAAATTACTACAATCTCCACACAAACCCATCTGATATAGAAATATTTATTTAGAATCATTGAAACAATTAACAATCGATATCACTTATTTAACGTATTACATGGCATGTGTATATAGTCTCTGCCAGGGAAGTCCTACTCACTGCCTTCTCGTGGCGGGGGTATTGTTTACGAAATTGGGAGGACAAAAAACGAATGTCCGGGGCTTTAACCGGGTTGGTGGACATGGAGAGTCCACATAGGGGAGTTGGAAAACCCTGATTCCAAACCAATGGTGTATATGGGCTCCAATATCCTGAGGGAACAAATGAAGTATGAACCAATTGTTGGTCACCGACTACCATGGGAATGCATCTCCTTACGATGCTTCACTGTCTTGTGGGTCAGACCTTTAGGTCAGAGGCTCCAGGTGTGGTCCCCTAAGAAAACCACCTGTTTCGGTTTGGGCACCCGGTCAGTATCACAGCCCTCACACATATAAAATGAGATATTCGTGACGCATACATATTTGGTGCCTCCTTGTACCAATATCTGTGTGTTAAAATAAATAGATAAAATGGTGAATAAATGTTTCATTACGCTATAAGACACTTCAACAATTTACATTTACACTCTTGTTGAAGATCAAATTTTGAACCTTCAAGTTCATTGTCAAATGTTTGACTTCTCGACCACTGACCCCTCATTAAATTGTTCACATTTTTAAACTGAATAAATTTTCGTATATTGTAGAACTTGTTGAGTTGTCTTTCCGAGAACGGAGCCTCCAGAGGCCCTAAAGGAGCCGAAGAGTCCTTGTCAATTAGAGCATGATGGAGCTTCTAGGATATCAACGTGGCGTGCTACTATTGATCAGTAGCATAATATGTATTTGAGCGGATTGGCCAAAATATGATGTTGATTTAACAAATGTCAACATCTATAAATACCTGTGCTTTTCTGTACAAAAATGAACCTTTGGAGTAAAGTCTTTTTCGCTTATTTTGCGCCCTTTCTCTCGAGTTCAGGTCGCCGTGTAGTTCTAGCTTGCGGGTTACCAGAATATCTTAGGAATCGAATAAAGCGTTCAAATTAACAAGACTTATCAGAACTGTCTTCTAGATTCAATATTGAAAAACTACCTCATACCAAATTCATTATAGCATCACATATGGATTCTGCTCGACATACATGAACTAGTTATTGTTAAATACATTTGTTTTTGATGTCATAAGAAATGTGGTGAGAATTTAACTTATCTGAAACATTTTCCTTACATTTATTCAACTTTATAATAGGCAAAGTTGGATTATTAGAATGAGCGGAATGTAATGTAAGAATATTTATTCATTGCTCAGAATTCCCACCACTGGGAACATTTTTCTTCAAAAGACTAATAAATTGCAATTACATTTATACAAAATGACCTACTAACCATTTCCAAATGCTTATTTTGACTGATAATATGATATGCGACAACAATGTAGGATGATTGCATGGATCAATTTTCATTCCAGCATTGTCAATATGACAACGGTAGAAAATAATAAAGGATTTGATACATTGGACTATGTTGTAGATCTGATCGATGTACAAAATAAACGAGTGGATAAAATGACTGGGTAAACTAGGCTATAAAACTAAATACAAGTTAATCAGATCACCAACCTAGATTACGTTATGCTCAGACACATATTTGCGACCAATGACTGATAAGCATATTATGGAGCTAGAACAATTTACTGATTCAAAGTACAATCATTCTAAATGTATTTAACTAAGATTAGAAATTTCAAACGAATCTGTTAAAATATAAAAAGAAATAGCGATTTTTATTGCTCAGTAGTCAAACATAGGTTATCATGTAACAGTTATATCGTTTTTCAACTCTAACAACCAGGTCTTTTCGTGATACAAAAGCTCTAATATGTGCTTCGACTATTCATCCATCTATAATTTTCCAGCTTGTCAATGAGTCATGTGAAATGTAGGCCCTGCTATTTATCTGTATCGGATGAAGTCGCCACATTATAACAGCACAGCGAGATTCAGTTGTCATGGCAAATCCCAAAGTATCAGAATTAGTAACACTATAAGCGTTGATAAACGATACGATACGAGAAATAATGAAAAAGTGGAATAAATTGCAAGGGTTGATGCTAATACTAATATCAATCCACTGATAGTTTGAGCAAATACTCCTATTTACTTACACGCACTGCCTCCAACTAATAATTATGACATTCAAGAATATTCCAACAAGCCAGTGCTCCTGACATGTCCTAGTCCAACAATCAATGAATTTACAGAATGGTGTCGAATTTCGATCTGACTACTCTTAGTTCTCATCAGATCCGTTCCTACACTGACAAGCATTCCTTGTCAAGGTGAGCGCTGGTTGGCCATATGTAAAACGTGTCACAACCACTTCAGATGATGAAAGCTCACTATCTCATCGACCACCTTGTTATATTTATCCAGTATGCTTCTCATAACATAAGCATCGTTCACTTAATGGTCCAAATGTACGTGAGAAATACTTCGAACACATCTATTATCAGATATCAGTAATCAGCGGTTATCCTTCACTTTTGTTTAACAAAAATAAAGTCGAAAATAACTCACTGTTGCTCAGTATACTCAATATTTCCTTGGAAGATAAACGACTCGTCTATATCAAAGTGAAGACAGTTGATAAGAGCCAAAAAACTTTTTCAAGCCTCTAGAAAGACTTCATCAGACAACAATCCACCAGGATGTATGAGACTTCCAAGATAAATGGAATGATTAAAAGAGTTTCTAAACGATTCCACGTAACTCTCACCATGTTTTCACGATACAAACTTATCAGCGGATCAATTAATTTAGGTTAGATAACCATCTGATGACCACAGTTCTTCTTTATCCAAACCTTTCAAAACACTGGCGCACTACAGAAGTTGTCATAATTAAGTGGACAACTAAAGACAAAAAGTAAACGATTTATAATTGGTTCATGTTACTCATACAGTTTATATCAAAACAAACAAGCACATTCACTACTTGATTCAAGCCCAAAACTTGTAACTACTCTGTAATTACATATTCTACGAAATCGCTGATTGAAAGCTGTTACTAAGATATAATCTATAAAACTGATTGACACTTGCTATTATTCTAATTAGTCTATCAAATTAATTTGAATTAGTCATGTGGTGCGTGCTACTTATATTGATGTAAGTAGTATATGACGTAATGTCTGGCAGCAGATGGGGGAAGATCAAGAAAGGAAGAGCGGGAACACAATGCAATTTGTAAGAAAACGCATGGGCAATGAAATGTGAGACAACAGATTGATGCTTGCAACAGAAAAACAATCCAGGTTGATATGATGGATTGATATTTTGCAAAATAACGATTTGCTATGTAGTTTTTCTATTTTTCCAACTAACTGTGTAATTTTGTGGTAAGTAAATCCAATTGTCCCCACTCGTGTTCTGTTCACTACAATCAAAGCACTACGACAATCTATGGAACCGTTAATATTCATACATATTAAATGGAAATCCACTATAATTTTGTTCAATATTTTATACTACTTATAAGTAACCAACGTTTGAATCAATATTTTCTCAATAAACAATAAAACAAGACAAATGTATATATTTTTTTACCATTTCATTTATTCTGTTTGAGTATGAGAAAAAAATATGTCACTTATTGAATCGTACTAAAAACACCAGTAGAAAATATTAAACGAAACAAAATGAAGATTATGTAACTGAATGAGTAATTTTGATTCTTCCGTAATAAAACACAAAATAAAAATTTACTTGGAGTTAAAACAAAACAAAACAAAACAAAACGAAACGAAAACAAGCCAAAAGTCAGAATAATGATAATTAGATTAACAATAATCAATAGATTGTAAAATTAATGTAGGATACAAGTTGGGGAGAAAAAAAAGAAAAGAGAATGTTTACAACTATTCGGTTTTATCATTATTTTTTTTTGTAGGAGATGGAGGAGGGATGAGTATTCAACTGTCTTATAGCATTAACAACACACATGCACACATGTGTATTTTTAGGCAATTCATGTAAATCATGTGAATAATGAAGATTAACAAGGAAAAAAAGGAGAGGGATTGAACATATAAATACCCTCGTGATTAGATCATTTTGTCTAGGAAAGAAATCACAATATTTGCTGTCTTTATTCTATTGTTTTCTGTTAGTTCGGAAAACTTGATTCAAGCGTGTATGTGTATGTGTGTTGGTGTGGATTTATTTAACTGTCTAGACAACAATATAATATAAAACAAATCTTTGATCAAATAGAATGTCCAATAATCAGCTCTCTTAATGATCATGATGACAATGATGAAATATGATGAATAAAAGAAAGAAAAAATAATAACAGATTTCTCAATGTTGTTTTTCATTTATTTACAAAATTAACTAGATATTGTTTTCTGATGTATTCACTCAAATTGGATACTTATATTGAACCTATTTTTCATTCGTCATGGTATACACAATCTCATTGAGTTCCATGTGATACTTGATGTAGCAAATTTGCTAAATGAAGAAATCGTTTTTCAATTTCTGGATGTTTTAAAATTTTATTTATTGAATTGTAATATGTTGATCTAAAAGAGAGAACGAAGAAAAAAAGAGATAAGTAACAGATGAAAGTATAAATGTCAAATTCATTAAGCAATAGGCAGAAAGTTAACAATTAATATACTGCTTGTGATATTTCTAATGAGTAGAAAAAATTGTACTTCTAATGTTTCGTAACTCGATATAAACTGCTGCTTCTTCAGAAACTGTATTTATGTTGAACTAAAAACGGATTACAATAAACAACTTTTTACTGATTTAGATTTTGTTTCATCTTAATTTGAAACTCCTTAGTAATAGTATGTTACCATAATCATGTAAGGTAATGAATCTCTTACTTGATTTTTTAACAGATGATTATATATTTTCATGAGAACAAGACTAAATAGTAACACGGTAAGGCCTTTAAACGCCGTGGTACAGCTGAGAGTGGAGAGAGTCAGTTGTCCCTCTCGAAATGCTCTCACATGGTCATGAGCATACGATCATTACCAGGGAAGTCCTACTCACTGACATCTCGCATCAGTGGTGTTGTTTACGATATTGAGAGGATGAAAACTGAATGTCTAGCGTATGAACCGATTGTTGGTCACCGGCTACCATGAGACTGCATCTCTTGACGTTTTTGCATTGCCTTATGGATAAGACCTTTAGATCTAAAATATACACTGACAATTTGCTATCTGGATTGAAAATGTTATTTTGACAAGACTATATTAATATTCTGTTCAAGTCTTGTTTTCATTTAGAAACCAGTTAAGTGAAATGAAGCTTCCAAAAAAGACTAAGTAGAATAAGCAAAATTTTCATTTTCGATGTCTAAATGTTATATTTGTTGCTATTTAAAACTTGTTCTATTATATCTATGCTTTCTGTGAATTAAAAAAATTTTCTAAGACGCTGATTTCTCACTTTTCAGTAGCATCTATGATTATTATTTTCTTTTAAAAGTACATATTAGTCATTACAATTTGAAATAAGATATGGATAATCAAAGAATAGCTTAAAATACAAAGATTAAAGTTAAACTTCCACATCAATAGACCTTTGATAAAAGGGTATGGGGATTCGATGATAAAACCGAAGGTTATGGATTAGACTCCTAAGCGCAAGGTCGTATGTATTCTTATTTATTTATTTATTTAAACACACAAACATCAGTACAAGGAGGCACCAAGTAGATTTGCGCCACATAAATCATTCGATTTGTGTAAAAGGCTGGGATATTGTCCCGGTGCCTAAATCGAAGCACGTGGATTTCTTAGGGGGCCACACCTCGAGCCTTCGGTCTAAAGGTCCATCCACAAGACAGTGGAACAACGTCAGGAGATACAGTCACATGGTAGTCGGTGACCAACAATTGGTTCATACGCAATTTTGCCCTCAGGATTCTGGAGCCCATGAGCACGATTGGTTTGGAATAAGGGTTTTCCAACTTTCCTATGCTGATCCTTCATATCTACTAACCCAGTTACTGCGTTGGTTTTCGTCCTCTCACATTCGTAAACAACACCCCTGGTTTGAGAAGGCAGTGAATAGTACTCCCCTGACAGTGGCTGTATACATGTGAGATTATTTGGAGAAGGATTACTGACTCTTCCTACTCTCAACCGTACTAGGGCATTAGATATGCTCTATTTTAAGAAGTTTCATATTATGACATAAAAGTCATCTAATAATTATCTAATTCAGATTAATTAAATTATTCATTATAAACTTACTTATCATTATTATTATTGTTATTATTTATTAATTCATGATTTTCTTCATTAGAACTTGTACTAGAATTAATTAATTCATTAGTATAAGTAAAATTTTCATTTTTCTCCACTGTTTCATGTATCATATCGGTTAAATGATTAATAACATTATGATTATTCCAATTATGTTTATTTTTTTCATTTTCTTGATTTATTAACATTTTCCCAATATTATTTTTATTAATCCCCCTATCACTAACCTCCTCCTCCTCCTTCTCTACCTCAGCAACATCATGTTTTGTTGTTTCTATGTTTAATTGTGTTTTAAATAAATTTAATACTTCATCTAATAAATGAGCTAATTGTAAAATTGTTCCATTATTATTTGATTTATTGATAGATTGATAATTATCAGTAATATATTGATTAATTAATGAATTATTTTGTATAATAATTTTATTTGTATTATTAATTTGTTGATTTGAACTAATTAAATTACGAAATGGTCGATGATGATGTTGATATTGTTGCTGATGTTCTTGGTGATAATGTTGTTGCTGATGAAGATGATGTTGCTGAGGATGATTAGTATTTTTAATGATTGATAATAAATCAGAAGAATTCGATTTTAATTGTGTTATATTTAATAATGGATTAGAATTATTATTTATTTGATATTTATATTGTCGTTCAATAAAATATTGATATTTTCTTAAAATTTTCTTATATTTTAATGAATTATAATCAATAAAATTTGGGATTGATTTCGATTTTATTGATTTATTTATAGGAAATGATGAATTGATTTTTATATGATTTATATATTGATTATTATTTTCGGTTGAATATTGATTATTATATTGATCTAATTGAACACAAGATATTGTCTAAAATAATTAAAACGATTTTTTAGAAGAAAATTATTTTGGAAATTAATTTCAATGACTTGGCAACAACAACAACGACAACAAAAATGCACTTACTAGTATGTAATATCTTTGCGAAGATTATTAAATTATGGGTAACTTTTGAAGGTATTTCCTCTATTTCGGTTAAATATAATATACTGCTCAATTGCTTTAAGATATAAATGGGTATACTTTTTATTAAACTCGTCGTCTAGTTTATTAGAGGGTAAATAAAATCTGTTATGTTCTTTCTTAGGGTCGTACATGTTATATTCGGACGAGAAAAAAATGACTGGTAACCGTTAGGAATTATTTATGGACTAATATTATACATATATTCCTGTTGTATAACTGTTCAATAACTAGATTATGTATATCTACATTCCTCTAATCATAAGCTTCATTTTGACATATAGTTCACTATTATACGATTTACTGTTCTTAAGTTATGTCCAGTTTACTGATTACAGTCTCCCACGTTCGCAGCTACTTTTTAATATAATTTTTAGTTTTTATTTTATGGCATGATGTTGTCTGATTTTGTTTGTATATAAACCAAGTATGTTTGAAATATATGATTACATAGTGGTAACTGTTATTGGTGTTCTGAACTCAACAGCCAGAGCTAGGAAGGTAAAAAGGTCATTAATTAAGCTAAGCTGCTCATTACCGGTCAATAAGTCATTGTTGTGGTACAGAATTAACATAGTATAAATCATATTCTAATTGGTTAGCTTATCACATGATATATTAACCGACCACAAGTGATAACAGTAGGCATTTCTGTTGTACACATTTTAAGACATCAATAAAAGCTTAGTGGAATTTGACCCTATACAGCTTAAAGAACTGAATAACACTTAAAGACACCAACTAAACTATAAGTCTCTGTCATTTTGAGATTTAACATTATTATTGGTCATAATAGTATTACTGTAGTGAATGAGCACACTAGTAGGGAAAACCTAACATATTTGAACACAAAATTCAAAACGTCTTAATAAAATCTCAGAACCATACAGTAAGTAAAGGTGGATATTGGGCAAGCAGTGGAATCCAGGATGCGTGTTTCGTCCTATTTGGGAGACTTCAGCTGGATGTACCTAAGACTCGAACTCAGTACTTGAATTACACTGCTAGCCACTATCCATCTTTGCTTATAATGCCTGTATATTAAGGCAATATCGAGGCAATACTTACAGTATGCACATATGCCAATAAGAGATTGATCAATTGCAGTCCTAAATAACAATGGGAAGATTCAAGTAAAGTAATACCAAGTGACTCATACAGTTTTTATTTATTTATTTTAACATTTAGATATTGGTACAAAGGGCATCGAATATATATACGCCACACAAATCTCATTTGATTTGTATGAGGGCTGTGATACTACCCGGGTGCCCAAACCGAAACAGGTGGTTTTCTTAGGGGATCACACCCGGAGCCTCTGACCTAAAGGTCTGATCCACAAAGCAGTGGAGCATCGTAAGAAGATGCAGTCCCATGGTAGCCGGTGACCAACAATTGGTTCATACGCCATTTGTTCCCGCAGGATACTGGAGCCCAGGTTCACCATTGGTTTGGAAGTCGGTCAAGCGCCTGACATCCGCTTTTTGTCCTGTCAATTTCGTAAACAACACCCCTGGTAGGAGAAGGGGGTGAGTAGGACTTCGTTGGCAGAGGTTATATACGCGTGGCCATGTGAGAGCATTTGGAGAGGGTGAGCGGACTCTCCCCACTCTCGGCCATTCCAGTAAATAATTGATTTACAAAACATCAATCAATCGTCTAAAATTTGACTATTCCTTCATTTCCATACCAATCAATCTCTATTGTCGTTCTTATTCCCTTAATCTTCTTAACCTTTTACCATCAGACATTTCACATTCGATTAATGATACATACTACTTATATCTATTGATATCAGTAGCCCATACCATAATACTAATAATTACATAATAATTATATGATATTATACTAAAATCATCTTACCTCATTTGAATATTTTAATTTATTTTTATTCATAGAATTCATTTGTTGATTTAAATTATTAAAATGATGTTTTAAAAATTTTAAAGGTTTTAAATCAATTTGATTATGATTTGTAGATTCATTGATAAATCGTAATCTTACAGGGAAATATTTTAAGGGGTACTCATTATTATTACTATTATTATTGTTATTATTAATACAAGTTGTCAAGGGAACCGTTAATTGTTGACAATGTTTCATATAAACATGAAATATGATAGATTTCCATGAATTTAATTTAATTGAACAAAATTTACATCCAAATTTAATGAATAGTCGATTGTTTCTATGAAGAATAGATGATTTTGATTTATTCCTATGACATTTTAATGATTTTGTCATTTTTATTAGGTTTGAATTATTAGTAGTTAAATTAAGTGGACTACACTCAAAAGATAAAGGAAATTTATTATCTTGATGATGATGATGATTATTAATGGTATAATCAATTTTTACTTCTTCATCATTTTTATGCAAAATTTGTTTCGATGTTGAAGATAATGAGGATGACGAGGAGGAAGAGGAGGAAGAAGAGGAAGAGGTTGATGAAACAGGCAAATCGACAATACCTTCACCAACGGATAAGGATATAGGTGATAGATTAATATTTGATTCAGATGAACTACAAAAGCTTGGTTCACATTTAATTGTTAAATCACTAAGACGATTTTGATGATGATGATGATGATGATGATGCTGACGTCTTCGATTTTTATATTGATGTATAGTTCGTCTAGCTTCTTCTAAACTTAATGTTTGTACTTCTCCATTTCCATTGTGAATTTGTTTTATATGTTTACCGACATCCCATTTCCAATTACTTCTGTATAAATAATAATAAACAGGGGAAAAAAACATGTTACATAAACAAATTGAAACTTTTAGATCTTTAATTTTCAAATTTTGTGATAAATCAGCCTTTACCCTCCCCACCCTTCTTACAGACTACTTTTGATTTGCTCAAAATATTCCAGAAACTACTTGGATGTTTCATGACTACATACACAATTTTCTCAAATTCAATTTATCAGTAATCATTGAGCGTGGAATAGGTGATCAATAAAAAATAAATAACGCTGTACACATTCGATAATTTTATCAACATAAACAGTTGATAGGCGGTTTTATATCATCCTTTTAGGTTTCATTGAATCCCTTGAATTATATTTCTGAATAACTAATCTCTTCAATTCATTATGTCTTCATATATAACTATCAATTGAGTTGTTGTCAAGTTATACAGCCAACTCTTTGGTAAAGATTAGTTAGTGTGTATACTAAATGAATAAATAAATTAATTAAATCATTGGTTTTTTAAAAAAAAAATCAAAAGAAAATTATCTCACCTATGACCACAAACAGAACATTTAAATGGTCTGTAATAACCTTCACCAGTAGTTGTTGTAATCGTGGTAGTAGCAGTAGTAGTACTAGTACTTGTTATTCCAGTCAATCCAACACAAGTTATCCATGGATTGGAATTTGTTGATATATCTGAATGTGTTTCAGTTAAATATCGATTACGTGATAATTTCATTCGATTCATATATTCATTATACGTGCTTTTAGCATCTTCTAAATCTAATGTAATTGTTATAATGTTTGTACGTTCTGGGTGTGCAACCTGTCAAAAAGAGAATAAAAATGAATATAAAATAAAGTGATTATATCTTGGATGTTATTAACCACGAGTACATGTCACTCAATATCATCTACCAGGATACCAAGTTACGTTGGGAATAGTACTGAATTGACGCACAACGACCATTCATCGTAAACAATGATGACTCTTGCCCCTAAATGCCCTGTTACGGCCAAAAGTGGAGAGAGTCAGCTCTTCCTCTCCAAATAATCTCACATGATCACGTGTATACAGCCACTGTCAGGGAAGTACTATTCACTGCCTTCTCAAACCAGGGGTGTTGTTTACGAATGTGAGAGGACGAAAACTAACGCTTTAACTGGGTTAGTAGATATGGAGGATCAACATAGGAAAGTTGGAAAACCCTTATTCCAAACCAATCGTGCTCATGGGCTCCAGGATCCTTAGGGAAAAATTGCGTATGAACCAATTGTTGGTCATTGACTACCATGTGACTGTATCTCCTGACGTTGTTCCACTGCCTTGTGGATTGGACCTTGAAATGAGAGACTCGTAGCGTTGCTTCCTAATAAAACCACCTGTTTCTGTTTGGGCACTCAAGAAGTACCTCAGCCCTTACACAAATCGAACGATTTATTTGCCGCATCTGTATTGGGTGCCCCTTTTTACCAATATTTATGTTCAAATAAATAAACAATAAATAATAAATCATTTATAGTATGGCTGAACTTTGCCGGTAATGAGTTGGAGTTGCTTATGGATCACTTTCTATGACGGTTAAACGAGTGTGTTAATTACGACTTATAAAAATTCATTACAAATCCCTTTTAATTCTATGCAGCATTTCAGTTCCTCCTAATTTGATTTAGTTATATTGGTTATATTACTTATTAATTTAAAGTAACTAATTTTAATTTCTATCATTTTCGAATATAAATTGTGTTTCTAAGCCTTAACCTGTACTTGTCACATTCGATCATTTGAACATTTTACCTATTACTTTCAATCCTTGTATTACTCACTTTTATCCTCTTGGTTCTACGTTTTTTGATCGATGTGTTTTTTTTAGCACACTTAAATGCTGTTGTATAGTTCAGCATATATTTTGCAAAAGAGATTCTCACATTATCATTGCAAGAAACACTTGTTGTACTCGGATATTGTATTAGGATCAGAATTCTCATGAATTAAGGTTTTTTTAACTGTATTACTTATATTCTCAAAAACCATAATATTTGAAGTAGATCTCATTCAATCGTCTGATCAGAAGTATTGAAGAGAATTTAGTTAATATTATTCAGAAATCGAACTAATATTTATAAACCATCATCATACTCACATAATTCTAAGCTCATTATGTAATTTCTTCCGAATACACTGATTGATCCCACTCTTATATGTTTATCTATCTAATTCTAACTGTTTCTATATAGTTATCGTATGACTAATAAATTCGCTCTTTTCCTCTCCATTGAAACTTTAATAAATCACTTTATTCACATGAATGTATAGACTTACTTTAATATGTTTATTGATGTCCCATTTCCAATTGGATCGATGACCACAACCTGAACATTGAAATCGTTTCCATTGTTCTTCCTTGTTATTATTATTATTATTAGTAGTAGTAGTACCCATTATTATTACTATTGTTACTTATATTAGTAACAGTACAAATAGGATTATTCGCATCTAAAGGACAATTAAATAAACTAGTAACTGGTGCAGATTTACGTCCTGTATTATTTCTAGTTAATAAACGATGAGATTCTTTTCTTCTACCTGGTGTAAAAAATCGATTAACATGTAATTGATTTTTTGATTGATTTTGATTTTGTAAATTATTCGATAATTCTAATGAATCAATATTTGATGGTATAGACCAATCTGATGTGGATTTTATATTTTCCCAATTCATTGATAATTGATTATTTTTTAATTTATTATGTTTAGTAAAATCAATATTTAAATTTTCATTCATTTGTGATTGAATTGTTGTTGTAATCGATGATGGTAATAATCCGGATAATTGATGATTTGCAATTGATCTAAATATTGTATGATATGGTGTATTAGACGTAGCCATTGTAGTACTAGTGACAGTATTAGTCGTAGCAGTACCACTAAATGTTGTATTCGAAGCAGTTACTGTCCTAGTAATTTGTGTTACATTATTATTATTATTACTACTACTAGGCGAAAGGTTTGTCGGTATTGTGGATGTAATAGGTGATGTCGTACTAATAATATTGTCAGAATACGTTGTTACTCCTCCATGTGTATCATAATGCATAGTTAAATTCTTGTATTGTTCTGACTGTTGTTGTTGCTTTAATTCGTGATACCTTTGACTGTGTTGTTGTTGCCATGTTTGTAAGAGACCAGTCATTAAAACCTGTTGTTGAATATTGAATAGCAAATTAATCGTTGGATTTGATGATGCATTATTTTTTAATGGGTCAGAAATTAATGAACCAATTATATACGGTGATATTGAAGTACTATTAGTATTACTGGTAGTAGTATTAGTAATATTATGCGTAATATTCTGTTGTGAATTAGATAAAATAGGATAATGAAATCTTGTATCCGATAATGTATTGTCAGTCGTAATAGTAGAATTAGAAGTAATTATACTAGGAGATGCTATGGTTGTTGTTGTCGTCGTGGTAAAACATTTCGTTCCTGAATAAGTACTATTATTTAACTCTGCAGAAAAATTCGGATAAGCATAATGATGATTGTTTCCGAATGAAATTTTTGACATTAATTCCGATGATGATGGACGTGTATTTGTAAGTAGTATAGGGTTCTATTATATTCATCGATTGTATAGAAGGTGGATGATATAAATGAAAGAAAAGAGGAAGGAAATAAAAAGAAAAACATGATTAGTTCACTAACAAAATCAATATAATATAATACCATGCATTTATGTAAGAAAAAAATGTTTATACTCATGCTTAAGTCAGTGAGTTTTTCATACTACTACTTATTCAACAAAGCATTACATGCATGTCAAATAACTTTTGCAACTATAAGATATGAGTGTATATTGCATACATAACCATCTAAGCTATCTAAACATTAGATAAATGATTTTTTTAGACATCGGATATCATTACGAGTATCACGTATAAACCTGTACCCGTGAAAAACCCAAAAGTGTCTATAAAATATCTAATGAAAAAATTAAACTACTTGTTATTTGTTAGTAGTTAATGTAGGAATATTAAGAAAACGGTACGAGGCATTGTTGAGATATTATAGAGAATATTAAATGAGGAGTTAGAAAGAGTTTAGGATGTTGATTAGAAGTTTCTCAGTAACTTCCAAATTATTTCAAATCTTGCCTACTTCTTATGAATGATCTGAATTGCTTCTTAACATTGGATCATGAATCTACTATAAACACATTCATTGAAAAATAAATATAGTTCAGATCAGAATTCAAAAAAGAAGTATGCGCCGACTTTGTAAACAAACATAAAATCACTTGAAAGTTCTGGAGATTTAGTGTCTTCATGTGTGTGTGTGTGTGTTACAATTGCCATGTTAATATTCACATGAAAACGTGTACTATACAAAATAACTATAAAGTTATTAACAAAACAACAGAATATATATTCGTGCGAGGATAAATAAAATAAAGGTATAGTGTTTTTGTCATAACAATGAAACTGTAAAATATATGACAACAAGAAATGAAAATAGACAACATTCAAATAAGTATCACGCTCGTACTCATGACACACACACACAGTAGTATTAATGTTATTGACGCTCTTTTTTGCATGTAAATATATAACGTTATTATGGTTATCATTAGTATTAGAATTAGTATTTCAATAGTTAACGATGAAATACACATCATAAAATAAACAATAAATAATAAACTATAACTGACTTGTTCTGATAATCATAATTACCTCCTGAAAGTTGAAATAAACATTTACAATGAATAAACAAATAATTTTATTTTTTTTATCATCAAACAACATTACTACTTGCTATTCATGGAAGTTTTATTGTGACTATTGTGTAACATGTTCAGGAACAGGGGAATTTAAATTTAAATGTCATTTCCGATTAATTTCATACAGTATCCATGTGTTGATTTAAGGTTGAAATTGAAATGGAATGTAATTTCATTTTTTACTCAAGTATTTATTGATTTATTCATTTAGACAGACAAATATTAGTACAATCGAACATTGAATATGTATACGCCACACAAGTCACTTGAGCTGTCATACTGCCCGGGTTCCCAGACCGAACCAGGTGGTTTTCTTAGGAGGCTACACCCAGAGCCTTCGACCCAAAGGTATGATCTATAAGGCAGTGAAGCAACATCAGGAGACAATACAGTCACATGGTAACCAGTGACCATTTGTTACATCAGGATCCTGGAGCCCATGTGTACCATCAGTTGGAACCAAAGCTTTCCAACTCCCCTAGGTGGATCCTTCGTATCCATTAACCCGGTTAGTGTCGGAAATCTGGTTTTCCTCCTCTCAATTTCGCAAACAACACCCCCGCCACGAGAAGGCAGTGAGTAGGACTTCCCTGTCAGTGGTTGTATACGCTTGGCTATGTGAGAGCATTTGGAGTGGGAGAGCTGACTCACCCCACTCTCGGCCGTATCCGAACATTTCAACTATACGGTTCTCTATTATGAAAAAGCAGACTACTTAAACCGATGTCACTGATGTGAGGTTTTCAAATTTGAAATCTTTCAGTTGAAAGAACTGACTATTACTCCGAAATCTTTTAAACATACATAGTTATTCTTTTTGTTTCATTCCGTTATAGCGTCAATCGAGTAGGGTTAGATTTATATTGACAATTGGTGTTTGTATTTATGAAATAAGTTTGGGGAATATTCAATTTTTCTTACTTTTCAATATATGGTTGTAAAGATAGTTGAATTTTATTGAGATCACAAATCTATCTAATTTGAGTAATCATTAAAAACCTGGAAACATTAGGTCAGCCTTTCAAATTAGTATGGGACTATTTTACAGTGTGTATCCACGACCCTTGACCGTACGAGCGAATGCCTTACCTCAAGACTGTAGAGCTGGGATCCGGTAGTTTCCAAATCTAACTTCAACCAATTCATGATATTTCCACGATGTTGAGTTAATCACATCAAATGTTCACATGTTAGACTATTTTTCAGTAAATTAATTACTAATCGCGTACATTATTATTGTCTCAATATTCACTTAGAGTTTATATTGATATTTTCATCTTGTGAAACCTGAGATGCCTTTTTTCTGGTTACTTTAAAAGCACCTTAATGAATTACATTGACTCACATTAGAATATAAAGTCAATATTACCATCTTTTCACCACCTAACAAGATTCATTGTGTTCAAAGAATGAAATTTACATACATTGAATGTTAATTAACGCATACACCAAGCATACCATTTAATTACTTGGCTGAGAGCAACACCTCTTGTGTTAAAGCTTATGATACTTCTTAGATACCTAAAACGAACTAAATTGTACTTGTCACAGATTCATTTCAGTCGAAAAACCAGTAAAAACCAAGGAGTGTAGGACAGTTGTTTTGTCTTATTATGAGAGGCCTTATAGGTGCACACCTTTCCCTAAGAACTTCGGGTATCTAAGCAAATATCCTATAATCAGAACCATCAGATTGTTCAATTTTCAACAACTGGTTGAAAAAAAGATTGAAACATTTGATGCCGAAGCATTAGTTTTTTTATTTATTTTAACACATAGATATTGGTACAAGGAGGCACCAAATATGTATGCGTCACGAATATCTCATTTTATATGTGTGAGGGCTGTGATACTACCCGGGTGCCCAAACCGAAACAGGTGGTTTTCTTAGGGGACCACACCCGGAGACTTTGACCTAAAGATCTGATCCACAAAGCAGTGGAGCATCGTAAGAAGATGCAGTCCCATGGTAGCCGGTGACCAACAATTGGTTCATACGCCATTTGTTCCCGCAGGATACTGGAGCCCAGGTTCACCATTGGTTTGGAAGTCGGTCAAGCGCCGGACATCCGCTTTTCGTCCTGTCAATTTCGTAAACAACACCCCTGGTAGGAGAAGGGGGTGAGTAGGACTTCGTTGGCAGAGGTTATATACGCGTGGCCATGTGAGAGCATTTGGAGAGGGTGAGCGGACTCTCCCCATTCTCGGCCGTACCAGGGCAATTGGGGCCGAAGCAGTAGTTCTGAATAATCGCTGGTTGTGGACGAACAGTACTGAGAAGTTCCATACTATGCTGAAATAAGTAGTCATATATTGTCTACTTCTTATTAATCCTACAAATGAGATGAATTCATCTTAACACTACAAAAATATTATTATGATAGAAAAGTTAATTTTACCTTAATATCATCATGTTTATGAAGATATCCAATTGATAGATCAATTGGTAATGAATCATTCACTGATAATATATCATCATCTTCATCATTTTGTATTAATGAAGAATTCTTAGATGGTGATGCTACTATTGATGAAGATGATGATGTTGTTAATGATAATTGTTTTATAGATGAATATGCAATTAAATTCAAAGGATCATTTGATGTCATTTGATGATCTGAAATTTTTGAATAATTTTTACATTCATTATCTAATGAAATCATTTCATTGGATTTTGGTGAAATTCCAGATAAACCTGATAAATGTGATGATGTTAATGATGATAATGATGATTGTGTTATGGATGTAATCTGTGGTCGAGAGAATACTGTTAATGGTTGTGTTATTGGAATCAATGAAACAATTGATGATTGACTTGGTAATATACATGATTGTATTTGTGAAGTACAAGATTGTGAATTGATCAATGAAGTCATAGGCAATGATGATGATGATGTTGTTGTTGTTGTTGAATACATTGTTAAAGAGATTGGTATTGATCCAATTGATGTATTCATATATTGTTCATCAATTGTTTCTATATCATTATTGATTATTGTAATTGGTAATTGATTACTATTTGGATGTTGTTTTTTTAAATGTTTTGTAATATCCCATTTATAATTACTACGTTGTCCACAGATTGGACATTTAAATTGTTTTAAATTTATATGACTAGCCATATGATTTTTGAATTTACTTTGATTTTGTGCATGATATGAACAAATATGACAGATTAAACTATTTTCAGCTATTGCCATTTGAGGTAGATAATTATTTATCATAGTATTACTAAGGTTTACAGTACTATTAATACTACTATTAGTATTATTACCATTGATATTATTGATAGTATCCATACTGTTTGATTCATTATGTAATAGTGAGTAATTAGTTTTTAATGAATGTTTACGTGAGTATGATTTAACAATTGAGTTCATTTTATCATCACTTTCATTGGAACTGTCATCTGAATTTTCAACATCAATACTAAGACTATTATTACTACTATTATTATTATCATGAGTAGTAGTAGTAGTAGTGGTAGTGGTAGTAATAGTACTGGTAGTAGTAATTATAATATTTTCTTCTTTATCATCAATATGTAAACAATTGTATCGATCACTTGTATTATCACCTTCACTACTTTCTGTTGTTATATCAAATTGTGAAATAGGCAATGTGGAAGTATGTCCATAACCACTAGTCATTGATGATGATGATGCTGCTGCTGCTGATGTTCTTGTACCAGCGTTATTTTTAAATTGTGACATAATTTTAATTAATTCTGTTTCACATGTAAAACGTTCTCTATGATGTGATTCCATATGACGTTTTAAATCACCTTTCCATGCACTACGATATGGACAAAAAACACATATGAATGGTTTAACACCCCAATGTAATCGCATATGACGATTTAATTCACTTTGATATTTTGCAACATATTTACAATGACTACAACAAAAACTTCCAGCTTTACCATTACGTGCATTTTCACGTGATTTTTGCATTCCATGCACAGAGCGTAAGTGTTCTGTTAGATCACCATGCCATGGAAATGTTGTTGGACAAATGTTACATCTAATTGTAGAGTGGGATGAGAAGACAAGCAAAAAAGAGAATACAAGTTTAATTTAACATCTGATACACAACAACTTAGCTATTATAGATATAAGAAAATCCCTAGTAAATAAAGGGAGTTTAAGAAGAACCTTGGTTTAACACCGTTAAGCTTAAAAGGTCATTAGTTCAACTCAGCTCGTTACTCCATAGACAATCACTTTATAATATTCCACAAAATTCTGTTGATATTCAAAAAAGATTGCATAGCATCACTCGAGGCTCGTTCAGTTTATTTACTTACACTGAAACTATTCAGCTGAGCTCAATTCTACATTTTTCATAGTTTAAATCACTAGCTAACTTTAAATACCCCACTACTACAGGCTTGTATTCACTGAATAGCTGTTTCATCCGAGTGCTGTACACTCTAAAAGTGAACATACACATTCCTTCAACCGGGAAGCGGATTCACGGACTTCAGTCTCGAACGCTTAACACAGGAATGCAACACTGTACATCATCTAACTTCAGTCGATTCATGAGATTATGTGACCATTTTCCACTGCTTGAGGAGTTCAACCACATCGGGTGTGAGACTGAATGTCCTAGATTCTATCCAAAGGTACAACATCGTGGATGTGCACTTCTAGAAAATTCCATATTAATCGATGTAAAGAAATGATGTTTATAAGATAATTGTAATTCGATAGTTAGAAATTTTATGAAATATAGATTTATCGATGAATCAACAAACATTGACGATTGAGTACATCTACGAAACTGTATTTTATTCAAATAAATTACAAAAATTACTAGTAATTAATAGACACTTGTAGTATGAAACTGTCTCTTTAACAAAAGTGTTATACACTTACAACCAATGTTAAAGATTGAAACTACTCATTTGTTTGTTTGTTTCTATTCATTATGAGATTTCTAATAGAAATGATTTTTATCAGAAGGGGTTTTAAGGAGATTTTAGTAATTTCAATTATTGAAATCATGAATCCATTGAAACTATATCAACCATGGAGAACCTGGAAGTACTGGACAGTTGTTTCGTCCTATTGTGGGACTCTTCAGCAGTGTTTCCAATGTTTCCAGATTTTCCATAGTGGTGTAGCTTAACAATAGAAATGATTTTTGTAAATATATTGCCAACAAAGGTCAAATTTATATATGAACTTTATTCTGAATAAACATTATTTATGAATATGTATTTTCTCTCTCTGAGATTATTTCAAAATATGAACTCAATTTGTTTACAAAGGTAAATAAAGTAAACAAACATTTTCAAAAGTAGTTCTTTCATCATAACAGATCAATAATTATAACATTCATGAATGATTAGTATATTGGAGTTTGGATGAAAAAAAGTATGTTGTACATTATCTTATTGGATAGTTAAGCTAAAATAAGTGTAACAGACATTAAATTCATATTCTTATGTTTGAAATTGAATGTTTTAACAATGAAATCAAGTTTCCAGATACCCTGGTACGGCCGAGGATGGGGAGAGTGAGCTCTCTCATAACCATACGTACACAACCACTGACAGGGAGGTCTTATTCATTGCGTTCAGAAACCGAATGTCTGGCGTTTTAATTGGGTTGGTGGATATGGAGGATCCAGCTAGAGGAGTTGGAAAACCCTCATTCTAAACCAATGGTGCACATGGGCTGGCTCCAGTATCCTGAAGGAACAAATGGCATATAAACCAGTCGTTGATCGTCGGTTACCATGGGACTGTATCTCCTGACGTTGTTCTACAGCCTTGTGGATTAGACTCGGGGAGTGGCCCCCTAAGAAAACCACCTGGTTCGGTTTGGGCACCCGGGTAGTATTACAGCCCATACACAAACGATGTGACTTGTGTGACGCATATCTATTCGGTGCCCCTTTGTACCAATAGTTATGTGTTCATATAAATAAATAATAAGAAAATCATTACTTAGATATAGAATCAAGAATGTTTGAACTAAGCACAGGATGCTTGATAGGAATAGGATGTCGGTTGATGAGGTAGTGTATTTCCAGTGACTGAAGTGGTCAGGACATATATTATATATGAACAACCACTAAGTACCTAAATCCATGATACTTGCTTTTGTATGAATCTGTAGCAAGAAAGCTAAGAGAGGTCAAATCAAAACATCCATGAAGACATTATCTATTGAGTTGGGTTGTATTGGTAGTTATCGACTCTCACATTACAGTCATCATAATCATCATGATCAGAGGTTGGAGATGCTGAATGTCATAACTTATAATAATTCAGGATGGTGCTGATGGCTTCATTTTTTGTCTGTTTATAGATCTTGAGTCTTTATTCCAGGAATTTTTTTCATTCTTCACTAATCAGATTATTTGTGCTTGAACTCCTCCACTATCATCAATACAGTTACTTAAATCTATTAATCTGGGATTTACATTTATAATTTCATCTCATCACATTGTTTCAGTGTGGTAACTCAAATTAATATATACGTTTTATACATTACCTTGCTTATGGATGACCAACTAAAAGGCTAATAATTACCAAATAGATCTCCATATGTTATACGTTCACAATACAAGTGATTTGAAAAATTTGCAAAACCTAGTTTATCTACTGATTTTTTTGCACCAATGATAAGTATATTACCTTAATTAGACTAAATCATTTCAAATTTTATAAGTTTATATATTCTCCAAAATGCAATTTAAACAAACCGTTTAATTATGAAAATCAAACCGGTTTCATAAGATATTTCCTAGAGTTCTAGTGAGAAGCTGTGGACAGTGGAGTTCAACTTGTTCTGATGTGAGATAGTAACTGACTGAAAACAATGGTCGATGGTGGCTCAATTTCGTGAATTGGTTGCAGTTAGACATTAACACCGTTGGATGCAGGCCACCTCAGTGGTGTAGAGGTTAAGCGTTCGCAAGCCAGACCGAAGGATCTGAGTTCGAGTTCCTTTAATACAGAGTCCCGAATACGCACTTCTGAGGAGTCTCATACTTGGACGAAACAGCCATTCAGTGCTTTCAAGTTTTCAATAGTGGTCTAGCTTTAATCGACCCATGAATTTTACTATTAAAAAGCAACCAATTGACTACTTTTCACATTTGACACTTTACTTTAGATAAAAAATAAATTTGTTTAACATTTGACTGATAACAATATTCATGTTAAGAAAATTCTAAATTACTTTTTTTTTTAAAGTAGATGATTCATTAAAATTACAGTGAATTATCAGTAATATTTATTGATAATTACAGAGTAATTAATGTAAACAAGCTTATGTAATCACTTATTTTGCATAGTTTATAATAGTACAACATTGAATTGAACAAAATAGATAACATTTATAACTATTAAATCATGTTTGTATTGTGGATTGACCTAAGTTTTACAATCAGTTAAAGTAAGTATGAGACAATTCAGGAACGAAACCTGAATTTCAAGGATAAGAAACTTCAATACGATTGTCGATGCGCACTGTAAAGAATTTTAATACAGCTTCTGAATAGCTGTCTAACTAATCTTAGTTCGTGATGTTAACTATGAACCGCTTTTTCCAGGTTTTCCATGATGATCTAGCTCCAATTGACTTATGAATTCAATTATTAAGTTACTCAAATCTCTACAAAACCCTCTTCTGATAATAATCATCATGCGCTCACAAGTGACCGGATTCAATAGGTATTTCCTAGAGTTCTAGTGAGAAGCCGTGAACAGTAGAGTTCAACTGGGTCTGATGTGAGATAGTAACTGACTGAAGATAATGGTCGATGGTGGCTCAATTCCGTGGATTGGTTGAGGTTAGACCGTTGGATTCAGGCCACCTTAGTGGTGTAGAGGTTAGGCGTTGCGCGCGAGACCGAAATGATCAATTAACAAGTTTAAATAATAGGACATTGTGTTATCATTCAGTGCTAGATATTACTTAGTAATAACAACGAATATGATAGCATCTGTTGTTGTTCAAGAGGAAATTTAGACTGAACAAAGTGAAATAACTCATACAAACAACAAAACGCACATATATCCAGTAGAATTAGTCGAAAATATAAAGGTTAAAGAACTTTTTATAACATACCGATAACGTCTTCTTGAGTCGACTTTCTTCACAACTGGATGATGACGATCGTCATCATCATCTCCAACTGTGATTACTTTAGTCGCTGTTCCCGTTCCTGTTGTGGTTGTAATTGTTGTAATAGACGATGGGGATGTTGTTACGGATAACAATGAAGATGGTGATGAGGATGTTGATAAGGATAATGTCGATGATGATAATGATAATGAGAAACATTTTTGTTTCTCCTTAGATTTACCATTTTTCAATGATGATGAATATGATCGAGATTTCTCAGATTTTTTTATCTCATTATTATTATTGTTTGTCATTTTTGAACTTTTGAATTTTGAATGAATCTCTGTTGTAGATGGTGATGTTGATGATGATGAGTTGTTTGAACAAGTCGTTGTTATCGTCGCAATAGTATAAGTTGTACTTGTAGTACCAGGATTAATACCAGTATTCGTGGAAATTATCTTAAATTTATCAATAGTCCCTCCCACACTATTCGTATTAGTATTAGTAGTAGTAGTAGTAGTAGTAGTAGTAGTAGTAGTATGGCAACAGTTACTATGATTTTTACTATATACAGTATCTAACTTTTGATTTTTAAGCATTTGTTCACTTGTTGTTGTTAATGATGAATTGATTTGTTCCGGCTCGGTTGACCAAAATTTTACACGTTGTGGTGTAGATGATGCTTGTAATGCAAACGAATTATATGAGTGATATTTTTGTTGTTGTAAATTCATTGTTGGTTGATGTGATTGAAAAAAATCAAAAGATGTTGAATTATTCATTTCTAAGGGCCAATCTAATTTCATAGATTTTATAGATGATTTAGGACTGTCAGAATTCTCTTGATTCATTGTTATCATAGTTGATGTTGGTGGTGTGATTGATGTTAAATTACTGGTTGTTAAAATATTAGATACTGTTACATCACCATGTACTAGTTCCATATGTTCATCTTGTCTACGTGGAGATGATGCAGAGAAACCACAAACTGGACATATACACATTGTTACATCTGCATCGTCATTTCCAGCATTTGTAGTATTCACACCAGTAGCAGTAGTAGTAGTAGTATTATTACTATTACTAACTAAAGTATGTATTGCACTGTCTGTATGTTGGGAATTTTCCACATTCATCAAAACACCTGATGTATCTGGAATTAAATCATAATCCATATGAAATAGTGTTATTATTATTAATATTATATCATCAAATGATTTTACTGTTAGGGTTAACGATAATATTAATCAGTTAGGTAGATAAGAACATGAATCCATAGATATTTATCCATTTACACGTACATATGTATATATTCATCAGTTTTACTATTAGCCTTAAAGCAAACTGAGAATGCTCCTTCCTTTGTACTTATATCTTGTTTGTTCAATATCAATACATACAAGCGAAAACATACATTGACACGTAAGCACACATTTATTTGCTTGTTATTCATGTGCCAATTTGCTTATACATGACATTTTCTGATATACATACCATATACTGATTGAATGATTCGTTCGTTCGCTCACTCAGTCTTGTTAACACAAGCAAAAAAGCATTCGAATAGACACGAACTTAGATACGCACAAATATGCGTATGTTTGTAATTGGATCTACACTAAACTCGAAAAAGAAATTGATAATGAATAAACAAACACAAGACACTGATTAAAAAAAAGAGTAAATAGTACAGTTAGATGAATTAGACGGAGCTAAATACTCTACACGAGCAGCAGAAATAATCAATGACTGACTGATAAACAAATCTAAACGAATATCCATCGTGTGCACACACATATACACACACTTCATACAAATTGTATGTCTGAATTGATTTGATAATAGAGATTATGAAATTTCTTAAACTAATGGAAAGAAAGAAATAGACATTTATGAAATGAATTTACGTACTAGTGTACTTGAATCCAAAGAACAATGTTGATATTTGTTCTTATATATAATCATATAAATGTGCGAGTCTTTTGTGTCTGTCTGTGTGTGTCTGTGTACATAAGTGTGTGTGTGTGTGCACGTATAATATTGATGGAACTAGTCTCAACAACAACAACAACGAAATACAAGATTTCTTCAATTAATGCATAGTTTGCATGTAGACGTAAATTGCAGAGTAACATGCAAAATAAAAACAATAACATTAACGAAAACAGATAAGAGACAAATTTAAAGTACAAAACATTTGGATTGTTTCAACTTTGACAAATAATTTTGAAGGCATATAGTTGTACATTAAAACTTAAATTAATATGAATTAAAGACAAGATGTTATTCCTAAAGATGATGTTAATGATAATAAAAGTACTTAAGTTATTCTAGTCTTTCTGGTTGTTAGAAGGGGCATCGGCCTCGTGATTTCCGAAGAATCTCGGCTTTCATCCTGAGGCATGATAGTTCTTCCTTCAACTCCCAGGGCAGAGTTTAAATGGTTTAATTTGTTTAACCTGGTTGGCGTTTTTTAGCAAAATTTGTTCTACAGAATGGGGTTGCTGACATCATGCCCAACCCTCCTCATTTACCCAGGCTTGGGACCGGCAGTAACTCCAAAAGAGCTACGGGCAAGCCCTAACTCGGAATCCTGAAGGTAAGCGGAAAAGAGGAAGGCAAAAGAACACATTACATTGGAAGTAGTAGCAGATATGAAAAGGATGAATAACAACTGTGAAGAACTGGAAAGGATTACCGAGGACAGGGTTAGATGTAAAGTGCCTATGCTCCTCCACGATGAAAAATGGGCGTAAGTAAGTAAGTCCTCCTGGTAAATAAATATACTTTGCTAATATGATTTGTTAATCTATGAAATATAATCATTTGATCTAAACTAGGTGGATAAACTTTGCTAGGATACATGTATAGACAAAAATCAATAAATGGTCATGTCATCATCAACATCATCAGAATGAGTCGTGGATGCGAACTGCTGAGGAGTCCCATACTAGGACGAAACGGCCGTCCAGTGCTTCCAGTTTTTCCATGGTGGTCTAGCTCCAATTGACTCATGATTTCAACCTGTGAAATTATCAACATTAGACTAAATTTAGAAATGTTTACTAATTTAGTGATCTGTAAATCCTTTCATTCGTCAGTTCAAATGCGTGTACATACTACGAGTAAATAAGTTACGTCAATATGAAATAATTAAATATTTATTAGTCAATTAAAATTACTGACGTATACCAGGTTATTTACATACAAATTAACTTAGTCAATTGTACTTGTACTTAATTTCTGTTTCATTTCTATGTGAATAATCAACATCTGCCTTATTATTATTATGATCAAATGTAATTAGCTTGAATTGACTACATTTATAATAGAAAAGTTTCATAGGCATCTCATAGGCAATCTCTCTTTTAGTTAGAAATTAAGTCAAAGAGAAAGTAGAAACAATTTTATAAATGAAACAAAATGTAATTTAATAGTTGAATTAATGAGTCAATTAAAACTAGACCATCATAGAAAACCTGGAAACACTAGACGATTGTTTTGTCCTAGTATGGGACTTCTCACCAGTCCGCATTCATGATTTCACCTTACGAGATTTCAATCCACGATCTATCAGTCTCGCACACGTGAATACTTTACCTCTAGATCACTGAGCCGACATTCAACAAAATGTATTCACTTTCTAACACACACAAAATAAAACTAACCATGTAAACTTATAACAAAAATTTCATCCACCACCCCTACTCTGCCCTTACCCCGCAAAAAAAACAATTCAGTTTAATTTGATCTGAAGTATTCTATAGAAAATCAGAAAACAAGATATAACTTGATAAAACCTATTTAATTAAACGATCACAATTTTCTTTCTTTTTTTTAATATTATTCTTTCTATAAATCTTTCTTTGTTTTGAATAATCTAAGGTCAAAATAATTTAGACTGATTGAATTGATATTACAACAACAATAAAACAAAACAAACAAACAAAAAGTTATTGTCTCCCTTTCATTAGAATAAGAATGGAATCATTGTCATAAATTTTAACATACCATACAAATGAAGGTCATTTATATACAAGTGTGAAACATGAATAATGTGTACGTGTTTTCCTTTTTTATTTTATATCAATTTCTCTTTTTGAACCCAGGACCTATCAGTCTCGCGCGCGAGTGCATAACCATTGAACCACTGAGCCGCGATTCAACTGTGTTAATATCTAACTTCAACCAATCCACGAAATGGCGCCGCCGTACAACAGTGTCTTCAGTGAGCTGATATCTAGAAGCCGTTACCAGTGGAGTTCAACCAGGTCTGTTATAAGATATCAGCTCACTGAAGACAATGGGCGATGGTGGCTCAATTTCATGGATTGATTGGAGTTAGACATTAACATCATTGGATTCCGGCCACCTCAGTGGTCTAGAGGTGTGTTCGCGCACCAGACACAACTGACTCATGAGTTCAATCTGTGAAAATTTCTAAAAATCTCCACAAAACACATTCTGATAATAACAATCACCTGCTCACTAGTGACTGACTTCAGGAGACACTTCTGGAGTTCTAGTGAGAAGTCGTTACCAGTGGAGTTCAACCAGGTCTGTTGTGAGATAGGAACTCACTGAAGACAATGGTGTACGGTAGCGCAACTTCGTGGATTGGTTGAAGTTAGACATTAACACCGTTGGATGCCGGCTCAGTGGTCTAATGGTTAAGTGCTCGCGCGCGAAGCCAGTAGGTCCTGGGTTCGAGCCCCGGGTGGTGTGGGGTCGTGGATGCGCACTGCTGAGGAGTCCCATGCTAGGACGGAACGGCCGTCCAGTGCTTCCAGGTTTCCAATGGTGGTCTAGCTTCAACTGACTCATGAGTTCAATCTGTGAAAAAATTGTAGGTTCAAATTCCTTTAGTATGGGATACCGTATACGCACTGTTGAGGAGTCTCATAATAGGATTAAATGGCCATTCAATTCTTTCAGGTTTTCCATGATGATCTAGCTTCAATTAACTCATTATCTCATCTATTAAAATTACTATAATATCTATAAAACTCCTTCTGATATTTTCTATTTATCTTTCGAAAAGAATATTGATTTCAGTTGTATGAAAGTGATTTAGGAAAACTTAGATACTATCATGGATTTAATGAAACAGCTTCAATCTTTTAATATATCTGAAGGAACCAGTAGATTTATCATAATAGTAGCATAATTTATTATAATTTGTATGATGCCAAAAAGGAACTAATGTTTTTGGTGAAGTTTTGTTCTCTGAGCTGGATAGTTTGGTCCAGCTCCACCAAAATCATCCACCTGAGCTACAAATCTTCACCATCTCGAGGAACTAATGTACTAGATTCTTTGTTCTATAGAACTATCTTATTGTCACTGAAATCGATTTAGTAAGGATTTATTATTTGGTTTAAATACGATCTATGGTTTGAATACCATCAAATCTTCAATATAATTTGACATATTTGGCATAATTTAAAGAAATTTTTAATGGTAGACTAGTTATTTTTCCTTTCTATCTTATCAAATGTTTATCAAATCATGTATGTTTATACAGAAAAATAAGACCGATCATATTATTATTATTATTGAACTTTAAATCTAATCTTATCAAAATAGAAAGTTCCCTTAATGTGTACAATTCTTTAAAGATTCCAGTCAAATAGAAATGAAATGGATGAAATGAAAGAAGACAAGAAAGAAGGTGTAGGGTGGAGACACAGTAAGCAGTAGAATAAACTAAATCACAATAAAAGGTTGATAAATTGAACTCAGTATTGTCAGATCATACATAGGACATGGATAAGATATAAACACAATTGTAAAACAAAACAAAAAATAGGGATAAATATTATTTTCTTAGACACGTGACTATAGATATTTTCCTGTTCTGTAAAGATAATAAGGGAAAGGTTTAACGTGAACACTGTATACCATATAGCAAAGAAAGAATGATTCATTGTTTTCATTGTCTCTATTCCTTATGTGTACTAATATCTTTTTGTTTATATGCTTAAAAGGGTTCATGAAGAAAAAAAATACTTAAGTGATCTGAAATGTAAAAGTTTGCTTCCGTTTCTGCAATACAGGATAAATATATATTTCGTGAAAGATTTGTCTAGTTCATTCATTATATATCTGTATATATAGATATATATATATATATATATATATATATATGTGTGTGCATGTTTGTATTGTTCTACTCTGTTCTGACCGAAAAAGCAGGGAAATGATATTAGATTGAATTCATTTTCAGCCATATATATTGTGATAAGCATTATAATTCACGATATATATAGGTATGAATACAAATGTATTATAACTGTACAACATAAAGGATTAATGAGTAATGGTCAGACAATTGTATTTTATGTACTATTATCAATAGAGGCGCCTAAATCAAATGTGTTTTTGTGTTCCAATAACATGAAAGAAAGATAAAAAGAAAGAAAGAAAGAAAGAAAGAAACGGAATAAATAAACATATATTATAAGGGATAACAAAATTAAGACATGAGTGGGAGAAATCAAATCAAAGAAGACTAGATTGTTTTTTTGGGGGGGGGGCGAGTTATTTTTGCTGTTATTGTAAATAACATGATTATTTCATTATAAAATCAGTTGTATGGAAAAATTCAATTATTTGACAATATTTATAGACAATATTTGTTAAGTTGAAATAATGTGACATTTTATTCTGATCTGAAAGAATACATTAAAAGACTAATATCTACCAGTCAATAACCATTCATTAATTAGGATTTTAAAGATAATGAAACTTCGTAGCATGCGACAAAATCCATAGTACCGCCGAGGGTGTGGAGAGTCAACTCTCCCTCTCAAAATGCTCTCACATTGCCACCTGCATACAACAAATGTTAGGGAAGTCCTGCTTAATGACCTCACGCACCAGGGGTGTTGTTTACGTAATTGAGAGAATGAAAACTGAACTGGTGGACACGAAGAGTCCACGTAGTGGAGTTAAAGACCCTGACTCCAAATCAGTGGTGCACATGGGCTTCAGAATCTTTAAGGAACAAATGGTGTATGAACCAATTATTGGTCACCTTCTACCATGTGGCTGCATCTCCTAACATTGTTCCACTGCCTTTTGGATCAAACCTTGAAGTCAAAAGAAATTTCTGTCGGTTGTATTGCTAACTGAACAGTGTCTCCTACTACGTAATTTTTTTCTGTCTGATTATACTCTGTCTATTATTGTTTGTTTTCCCCCATTGTTATCTCATTATTTTGTGTGGTATTCAGTTTTATCAATATAATAAAAATGGTAATGATCAGTTCAGTGAAGTGAATCATTCTAATACATAAGTTACACATCTAGGCGATAGAGATTTAATAACAATGTTGCTTTTTTTAATTTGAAAAAAGACGTCTAAATAACTTAGCTGCATTTAAGAAAGCTGCACTTAACAAACTGATGAATACTCAGTAAACCATATAGTAATGAGGAGATAAACGAAATTGAATAATCTTGTGATCAAGATGGGATAAGCCAGGTTAGGTATTAACATGTGATGTTTGACTTAAACATAAGCTAGTGGGTCACACCAGTTACGATCGACACGAGTACGTCGACAATCTCCATAGATCACTTTCGATTGTGATTGTAATGACATTACAATCATAAATAGACCGAAGTTTAACAGTGACAGCGTTTGAATCTTATTGATTTGTAAACTGATCAAAGTTATCGAAAATGTTTTCAAATTACATTGTCGAACTTAACAATTTCGGTGATTTTCTTGTGTTTTCTTTACGCAAATGAATATTGTGTATTAGAGTGTAGTTTTCATGGAATATTTCATTTTAAGTAACAACCTGTTCATAACAGACAATTGCAAATAACGTTATTCTCTTGAAATTACACTCGAATATACAACAGTTCATCACTGAATGAATAGAAAAATGGCTTTATTATTTATTTGAACACATAAATATTGGTACAAAGTAACATCGAATACATATGCACCACACAAGTCACTTCATTTGTGTGGGAGCAGTGATACTGCCCGAGTGTCGAGATCGGAGCAGTTGGCTTTCTTAAGAGGCCACGCCAGGGAGCCTTCAACCCAAAGGTCTATCCACATGGCAGTGGAGCAACGTCAGCACTCTCCGTGTCCACCAAACCGGTTAAAGCGCTGGTTTTCGTCCTCTCAATTTCGTAAACAACACCCGTGGTACGCGAGGGTATTGGGTAGGACTTCCTTGTTAGTGGTTGTATGTATGTGGCCATGTGAGATCATTTCGAGATGAACAATGACTGAAAATGTTAGATACAGTACATTTATCGAACATTAAAAATACGTCAATTAAACTGTACACAACTCAACTGATCTTAGTCAAACTATGAATATACTTCGAAATTATTTCAAATAAGAATCATTCAAAGGAGGACTTACTTTCATTATAATGATTCTTATTCACATATATACCGGATGTGTTGACCATCAATCGATCTATTGGCTTTGAATTAATAAAATAAGGTGAAGTATTATTTTCGAAAGTCTGTTTATTAGGAAGAGAGAAGAAAATTGGGAAATAATTGATACATAATCTTGGTTTGTATTTACAAAGTGGCATCGATCTATGAAGTTAATAACTGTTGATCTGAGCGAAATTGATTAAAAAAAACAGGCTATATAGTTGAGATTATGTGGTGGTTGTGTGAAATAATGATTCTTTTGTATTTGAGGACTGCCTGATCTGCAATTCTAAATACAATACGCCTCACCTAGTTCTTCATGGTTTGATTTACGTTATTTCGGGAAGTCCTACTTTGTACAATAATTCAAATACATCTAATTATCATAGACTTAAAGACTGGTCCCAATTTATATATCACTGAAAAACATAAGCCATTGAATATTTATTTCATTCTAGTATATGACTCGTCAATGATGTGTACTCACAAGTGAGGCCGTTCCTTGACGAATATAATAGTTAAATTGAACGAATACAAAAATAATAATTTAAATGAGAATGTAATGAATTTCTTTCTTATTGGTTGTTTGAATCTTTCCATTAATGTTTAGGATTGCGATCGACCAGTCTCTTATGATACATCCAGCTGATGAGTCCCAAATGGAATAAGGTGCTCATTCTGGGTTTCATTGATAGCCACCATTCTGCTTATAAAAATACAGTAGTATATTAAAAGAAAACTTCATTTCCGTTGTAGACTTATCAGATATATAATGGATATTTCACAGAATACAATATTATACAAAAAAAATGAAGCACAGAATTTATATTTCCAATGAATGTTTCTAGTGGCGTTGTTTAATATTCTAAGCTGAATAACTTCACTCATAAGGTTTTCATTACCTTACTGAACATTATGAATGCATACTCTGTAAATAAATTTTGTTTTGAATAACAAAAATGAATAACTTCCAAATAAAGTTACTTAGTTTACAGAACCCTTGAATTAACTCTATAGATGTATGAGATAGTACGATACTGTTCAACTAACTAAATCACAATATGTAGAGAGTAGAATAATGCCTAATACATGAATAAATTCGCTATCTTTCACAACTATCTCTCATTCCCTGTGGCGAATCATTGTTTCATATCCTACATATTTCAATTCCATTAGTCATGGCTTCTGACTAGATCGGTTGGAAATCTTGAGGTTAGTAACTAATGCGACTTTGGACCCTTGAGTTTGATTCTCTCTTGGATCATGATTGATCACAACTACAGTCAAGTAATATTCTCCACAAAGCCATTACATACACAAAGTAAATATTTATCATGTAACTTACTTGCATAGGATTATTTTCCAAACTGAAAGAGAAGAAAAACAAAGTAACCGTAATACTTTTGGTAATAAATATTTTTAAAAGCTTGTACTTAGAGAAATATGAAAAGATAAATAATATAGTGCCGCTCTGTCATAAGTGAACTAGTGGACTTAGTTAGCCTATTAAAGTACTTTTTGAACTACCCCCTTCCTTCTTACTCTTTCAAAGAGATATAAGCAAATATGGAGTGATAACATTATTGTAGTTAAAATGTCTATCAAGCTAGTTAGTAATAAACATTGTAGAATGTCGAATACTTTTGCAACAATTAAAATTTATCACGCTTTTCAAAAGATGAAAATCCAAGGCACCCAAATAACAATTGTAACAACAATAATATTGATACAAGAAATCAAACAATTAAAATTAAAGATCTAAAGACTAAGAGCCCGCTAGGAAACCTGAAGTCCTTCGGTTCATGAGTGAACACTACTGAGGAGTTCTACACTAGGATGGGAAAGATATTCAGTTCCTCCTGATTTTTAATGGGTGTTTAACTGGAGTTCGATTCATGATGCAAACTATAAAATATAGAATACAATTCAAAAAGACGAGAAAAAATAATTTCGAAATTCAAGATCCAACACACGTCTCGTCTCACAGAGACCGAATATTAACTAGGATTTTTAAGTGTTATTGTCCTCAAACACAAATGTAAACACTAACAAAATCAAATTCTATAACAACAGAACATGGCCACCCGTATACAACCACAAACAGGAAAGTTCTACTCACTGCGTTCTTGTGGCAGGGGTATTGTTAACGAGATCAAGGATGAAAACTGAATGTCCGACAATTTAACCGGGTTGGCGCATATGGAGGATCCAACTAGTGTAGTTGAAAAACCCGGTTTCCAACCAATGGTGAATATGGGGTTCGGGATCCTGAGCAAACAAATTGTGTATGAGCCAATTGTTGGTCATCGGTCACCATGTGCCTACATCTCCACTGTCTTGTGGATCAGATCTTTAGGTCGAAGTCTCCGGGTGTAGGACCCTAAGAGAACCAGCTACTTCAGTCTAGGCACTTGGGCAATATGACAGCCCACACAAAAATCAAGTCACTTTTGTGGTGCATTTGTATTCGGTGCCTCTTTGTACCATATATCTATTCGGTCATATTTATTCAAAGCTATTTGTTTATGCTAAAGTGATATAATAAGAAGCACAAGAATATTGGGAAATTGAGCATTTTATCATTTCCTTATATAAACCAATTCTATGGAATATTAAATTGTTAAATGTAATCCACTTTTCATTATTTTAAATATAAAATTTGTTTTATTTATTTATTTATTTATTCTGTTACTGTCATTCAGAATTGCTTCATCTTAAATGACCTAATGAAAAACTATTTGATTGATATATATCTATCTATCTAATTGACAATTTTACTATTATAAAAGGAACTAAATTATCTATGTATATACGGTTTCATCTTCACAACACACACACACACACACAAAGACACATACACACACACGCATACGCACAGTAACTAATAAACATGAACCTATTCATATATTTATACAATTCATGGATAAATTATAAAAATTTACCAGAATTACTCAGTTAAATATAAATTTTGTAAAACAAAAAATACTCAGTTTTATAACGTTAGTTCATGTACAATACTGTTACTTAGTTTTATATCCATTAAAACTGTCAATTTTCAATAAACAGTTAATAATTATAGTTATCAACAATACAGGATATTTAAATATGATTTCATTTGACTTTTATTTACTCTCCCCCCTCTTTCTCTCTCTCTCTCTCTTATTCTCTCTATGTAGATATATTCATGAATGTGTAAACAAGTTTAGTATACTCAGATAATTCATAATCTTTTCTTTGTCCTCGAAAGGTGTGTGTACATTGAAAATGTAATTTACAATAATATACTTCATAATTATTAATTATGTAATCAGAAATTTTAATTTATTATAAAATGTACTGTACTGCACTATACTGTACTGTACTGTACTGTATTGTACTACATTGTACTGTATATTTTGTAACTGTATACATGTATTTCAATGAAATTAGATGACATTCATAGAAGTATGATGAGAAAATGAACATAAATTTATTTATGTTCATTTTTAAACAACAAAAAAAAGATTTTCTCGTTAATAATTGAACTAACTTAGTTTATATTAACAAATTTCAATGTTATATGCATTATCATCATTTGTGTACACACACACACACGCACGCACACAAACACTAAATATTTGCATGTATATATATGTGTGTGTTTGAGAGTGAGTGAGTGATTGAGGGTATACAAATGTCAATAATACTAGTAAAAATTTACTTATATACCCATGAATGTCTACAACAAGATGACAATTTCAAAAATTGTGCTACCCATTTTTTTTTCCTAAACATTAAATTTGTGATGGAAACGAAACCGATGGCGACAATAATGTTTACAATGCTTTTGAAATAGTTTTATTTTAGTCATTAAAATGTATATCACACAACAGAAAGATGAAATATGATATAACAACTAACGAGGTGAAACTGTATAAAATTGTAACCAACTGATAGATAAAGTTCCAATGAACCGATATGAAAAGAAGATATGAATTGTCTTATATTGGTATTTCAATTACAATAAAGAAATATAGTTTCTATTTAGAAAAACAATAATACGAATAAATAACTAGAATCATATTGGGAATATTAGATATCCAATACAGCTTATGTCATAGACTGACTGACATCAACTAGGAAGTCATCTTTATGTAGAAATTCTCATCTTGGATTATTAAGTGTCAATGTTAGGTTATATTTTGTAAACTATTTAACTAGAAATAAGTGATTCGTACTTCTATTATTTGATAGTTGATATGACGACTTTGAACACAAATATTCGCAACTACAATGTTGACTTTTAGTTAAGAGAAAACACTTGAATTACATTATTGATTTCGATAAAATCATTCAAATCAAAGGGTGTATGTGTGTGTGTGTATGCAAAATAATTTATTATTGTGTTTATATTATGTTTGAATTTTAGAAGTATTCAAAAACTGTTCCAATGAGAAACTACATATCCCTGATTCTAATTAAAGAGAACTATTGTAATAAGTGTATTATAACTTTATATTCATTTTAAATCGATATATGAATTGTTTTCTAATGATATCTCTCTTATTATGTATCACAAAAGCGAACAAAATGTGTTCATTGACTTAAACATACACACACACACAGTTATACCTGCAAAGATAGAGAGAAAGACACAGAAACTGCGAGTAAAAGATTTTGAATCATAGTAACAATAATATTACTAATAATATCTTATGGACTATGAACTGCATGAAATTTATTTTTATAAAATTGTCTCCTTCCCCTTTATCTCTTTCTCTCTCTCTCTCTCTCTCTCTCTCTCTCGTGCACACACTCCCTCTCTTTCACACACACACACACGGACAGACACATACATTTTGGTAATGCACTTGAAGTTATGCATTACTGTTAAGATATTTAAAAAAAAAATTTTTTTTTAGAAATAACTGTAAAATCAACTATTTTAAACATTTTTACAAAGAAAACATATCAGTTATATTCAATTTTAATGAACGCGTTTTATATTTTTCTCTATGAAATAAGGACTGTAATTATTAGAAACGCTACAGAAGAATTGTTTCATACAAAATTCAATGAAACAATTGTGTAACACTATGAGAAATGTTTCCAAAATATATACTTTTTGTTAAAAAAAAAATAGCTGATTTAATGGGGGGTCGATGAAAAAAGCATGATTTTTTTTTTTAAAAAAATGTAAACTAATTGCACAGTTCAATGTTTCAATGGTGTTATGTCAATAATTGTTAAGCAACAAACATTTGGGACTTAACCAAAAAAAAATTTTTTTTTTCTGGAATAATAACTGGTAAATAGAGATATTTTTGATTTTATTCTACTGAAGGGCAAAGTAACATGTTTTGCTGTGATAAACTGGATTAACTGGATTAAGATTGTTTGATATATTCTAATTTCATGTATATGAATTTTTTGATGTTTTTTCGAAAAATTTCACTTGATAATCAGTTCAGAAAGAGAGGAACAATATATAGTAATAATAGTAGTAGTAGTGATGGTCGTGGTGGTGGTAATAGTACTACTACTACTACTACTACCACTACTAGTAGTAGTGTGAATAGTAAACAACTAAGTGAGTGTGAATATCTGAAATAATTCAGTATTTCAATAAAATGCATATGCTTAATCTAGATATAAGATATTTAATATTATAATCCTTTTAACAATAATATCACTCAAATTAGATTTGATAAATTCATTGTTTTATTATGTCATTAATTCATGATATAATTGTTTGTTGAACAAAGATGTGTGCATAGATGTAAACTTCCTAGGTTGGAATATAACTAATATCAATATGTGCGACTAAGCACATATATGCATCGGTCCAAGTTGCCATACCTCATTAACACAACAAGATGAACACCGGATTCATAGAAGTAGTTAGTTCAATGGTGGTAATATGTAAAAGAAAGATTGCATATAAGGATATAGTATAGGAAGAAAGAATTAGAAAGAAAGGTATAAAGTAATTTTAATCTCATGGTTTAAGGGAAGACAGCGAATATGTACACCGACCACACTGTTATTGATCCTGAGCCATGTCACACAGTCTCCAACCATTGGTTACGATAGTCACGTGGACCTCAACCAAGTAGTCTACATCTACCAACATGGCTCAGACTAGAAATTAGTGAATTCAAGCACTGATGTCACGTTTTGGTTTGACCACCCCTAACTTTCTACTAACCATCCCCAACACTAGTCAGTACTGCGCGTCGTGGTGATCGGTGTTCAGACATATGCAACACATGGCCCAGCCACATTGATTTTTAATGTCTACGTCGCTAATAACTCTACTTGTAGCTGTTCTAGAGTTACCGTCGGTAAAGTAGGAGAGTTGGACATAAGGGTCGGCAACCCCACCCCA